CTTTTAAAGTTTCCTCTTCTCTGGAATCCATCGATCTGATGTATTATTAGCAAATGATCAAAATACTACGGAGGGAAGACATTTTGGTTTGGATTACTGGTCTGGGTGTGTTTGTGTATTTTTGCGTTTGTGTGTATTGTTTGTTTCCCGGGGAAAACACTCCCGAGAAACACCGGCTGTTGTCATGCCTGCTGTGACGTTAAGTTACTCCGTTCTCTAATAATTACAAGCTTCAAAGTTGTATTTATCATCTGAATTTTCCGAAACAAGTTTAATATTCTGAAAGCCAAGACTTTGTTTATTTGCAATCAGATGAAAACAAACTGTAACGGACCCTGCCGTGTTATCTATGATTACTATACACCTTACATTCATAATGTCAGTGGGAGGGTGGGGGGGGCTGCGCTGCGGAACAGCAGGGTGCGAGTGAGAGCCGTCATCTTCCCTTTTCAAGCTTCAAACATGTATTTATCGTGTGATTTTGGAAATATAAGTTTCATATTCTGAAAGCCAAGACTTTGTTTATTTCAAATCAAACAAAACACCCGAACCCCGAAAAACTATTTTTTTACGCAAATCCAGGTTTATTTTGAAATGAGCCGTTGCGACTTCCGACTGATTTCGATAGAGTGGGTCACATAGGCATTAATGCCCAGCTTTACCCTCTAATTACTTTAATTAACCTGCCCTCTGCTTCTTTGTCCCTCTTTCCACAGGAGGGGGATGACACTTGTATCATGCTGTGGGCCACAGGCCTGTCAGTGAGCATCCTTCGGAGCGGGCGCTGGGAAGAGCACGACCTCACCCCCTCCACCTTTGGAGAGGGAGTCAGCCCAAAACTCGGCGGCTCAACCTGCGACAAATCCAAAGCGAGGTAGTTCATCCCGTTAGTTCATGAAGGATTCATAAGCAGGGATCGTATTTCGCTGAAAACAAAAGTCATCTTATTTCCTCATTCCTCATAATGTATTTGAAATAGTCTTGTCTTTAATTTCCTCTTTGGGCTCTTTGCAGGTTGGTTCTTAATTATGAGAAAGTTCTGGGCCACAGCAGCTTCAAACTCATGTAAGTACGACCAAATATATGACATGAAACTTGCAAATATACATTGTATTGTTGAGAATAAGTTATAAGCCTTCAACATTCTACTTGAGTTATCCCAATGGGTATTGTGACCTTCAATGCCCCATCTCTGTATGTGTGTATCCAGCTTTGCTATGAGCCAGCGTCACTACAAGGTGTCCGCGCGCCGCTGGTTCACATTAGACGCCGTGGAGCTGGAGTACGACGGCACCAAAGCCACATTTAACGGGAGCAGACATGTTTACGCACCGGCTGAGTACTCGTACCGCTGCGGCTCCGTCACCAACTTCCGCTGGCCCGTGCTCATCCCACACACATCTAAAGATCCAGCCAATCAGTGGAGGGTCTCTTTTTCAGACTTTCAGGTAAGATATAGTTGTTTTTTCTTTATAATTGATTTGTCTGTTGCACGGTAGACCCACTAATATTGTTTTTGTGGACACACCGAGAGATTGAACTATGGTTAACTCAATTTGTTTCAGTTTTCCCTGCCCTCACCTATTATTTCCTCTCTCCCTGCACAGATCCAGGGCTTCAACGTGACTGGAAGTGACTTCTCGTACGCCAGTGACTGCGCAGGCTTCTTCTCTCCGGGGATCTGGATGGGTCTGATAACCAGCCTCCTCATGCTGCTGGTGCTCACCTACGGGCTCCACATGATCATGCAGCTCCACACTATGGACCGCTTTGATGACCCCAAGGGCCCGGCTATCTCCGTGCCCCTCACAGAGTAACAACCCTGTTTCTTCTCCCTCCATCTCTCCTCCTTTCTCTCATTGCAATGCTTCCACTCCGACCCGATACATTCCACTCCCTGTTGATCTGTGGTTGGGCCTTATACAGACTAGTGTTGTTGTCAGAGTAAGGTTTTAGTCATCACTGCATATGTATACTTTAAAATGTGCATCCTGATACTGAAGAATCATATTTTCAGGTAGCCCCAGTTTGTGTGTCTCAGGTATACATTTGAGTGATAGTGGGAATCATGTGTTACCTAGAAGGAGCTTTAACAATAATTAAAACTGTTCTTAAAGGTGGGGTAGGTAAGTTTGAGAAACCGGCTCGAGATACACTTTTTGTTATATTCCATGGAATGCTCTTAACATCCCGATAGCAATGAATATCTGAAGCGCTTTGACAAAAAATCCATAAAACATGTCATCTGTGGAACCCGTAGTACTGTAAAAAGCACGACCAAAAATGATTGGATGGCCTACCTGCCTGTCAGCCTTCCATCTGTGCACAAACTTATCTCGTGCCCTCATTGGTCATGTGCGCGTTCGTGTGTTGGAGGAGGGGCTCTGTAAGGAAGTGGTAGATTTGATCCGGCTGTG